AGGAATGTAAAGTGTGCAAATGAAGCAACACTAGCTGTTTCAAAATATAAAAACCATCACGGTTTTTAGCATGTAGTTCATTAACAAAAAACAAGCATTTTGCTGACGCGAGTTCCATTTTTATTTTTTTGTGTTTGATCATGAGGGCAACCAAAAAGTAAGACTAATTTTTTTGTATATTATGTTTATTCTATGTTTTTTTAATTACAAATTAATTCTTTAATAGGATCTCAGAAAACATTTGAGGGAACTATAGCATGCATTCTAAGTCAATTAATTATGGTGTTTATATTTAATAGGATAGGTAAGTGCATTAATAACATTCGTTAATTTCCAAAGCAACGTAGTTTATACCTATTTTTAGGCTATGCTGCTTTTACACCAGTGCAAATTGGAAGAATAATTTTTGGAATAATCTTTTGTTCCTATGTTGAAGCTGTGACGGATCAAATCGATAATTTAGTACTCCCATTTATTATGTATATTATTCTAATATAATTTTTATTTTATTAAAATAAATAGTGTTTATATTTAAAAAAGGACTAAAATGTTATTTTCAAATACTTATTACATTTATTTATTCGGCTTATGATATGTGTGGATAATAGCATTCTGTATTCAATATTTGCAAGAAACGATTCTCAAGTGAGCTTCACTGAATAATGGATCAGTTTAATTGAAAAAATCTATTTAGTTAGTGTTTGTTTCCCTCGGTGGTCATCTCTGTGGTAAGTGTTGTGCGACGCGCCAAACGAAAGTGACGTACGTCAACAAAATAGAAATAATTAAAGTTTTTTAAATTCATTTCAGTTTAATTAGTAGTAATAAAAATGGCGAATTTGCGAAAATTGTGCGAAGAATATTTTGGCAGCAAAGATTTTTATGATATTCTAAACATAGACAAAACAGCTAGCCAACAAGAAAGTAGGTAGTATTTACATGTGTGAATTTTTTTCAAGAAATTTTCTTTTAGTTAAAAAAGCTTACTACAAACTTTCCCTGTCTGTTCACCCGGATAGAGTTGAAGAAAGCGAGAAAGCGTATGCAACCGAAAAATTTAAAATTTTGGGGAAAATTCATTCGATTCTTCAAGACAAAGAAAAACGTAAAGTTTACGATGATACCGGCGATTTTGATGAAGAAAGCGATGATTTTTGCAATTGGTTAAATTACTGGAAGTCAATGTTCAAAACTATTACCGTGGATGATATTAAAAATTACGAAAAAAGTTACATAGGTTCTGAAACTGAAATACGTGATATCAAAAAAGCTTATGTTTCTAACAAAGGAAATATGGACCGTATTTTGGAAATGGTTCCTTTTAGTAACTGTGAAAGTGAGCCACGTATTATTGAAATCGTACAGAAACTTGTAGATGATGGTGAGGTAGAAGCATACAAAACCTTTTTTAATGAATCAAAAGTTAAGAAACTTAGACGACATAAAAAATACAAAAAGGAAAGTGAAGAATGTGCTGATATTGATTTTGAAGGTAAAAGTAAGTAAGAGCAAGTGAGGACCTTTATAAAATCGTGTCTGTTATAGAGCTTTCAAATCAAATAAGCAAAAGACAAGAAGAGAGAACCAAGCAATTTGCTGATATGATCTCCTCTATTGAAGACAAATATAGCAAAAATTCCAAGAGGAAGGCAATTACAAATGGTAAGGAAGACAATAAATCACCTAATAAGAAAGTCAGAAGATCAACAAGAACCAGTAAAAAGTAAAATTTTGTTTAATTACTTACTGTGTTGGAAATGTATAAGAATTAGTTTATTTTTATTTCANAATCACACAGTGTTCACTGCTTTCGAGAGAAGAAAATTCCTCATTTTTCCTTGACCTTCAGTGTCATTATTACTAATCGTTGAAAACATTTACCAATTTCATTTTTCTTATATCATATTTCTTATACGTTCTTCTGACATAATAAATTACAGTGAAAGGAATCTGACAATTTCACTTAGCTGTGATAATACTAAGGCTTTCTCTTTTTGGAATTATTGTTCTGTCATATTTACCTTACCAATGGGTGATATTTTTTGTGTAAAAAAAATGAATTATGTATTTGACTGCGATTAACACTTTTTGCATTATATTCCTCGCATGAAAATATTAAAATTCCTTTTTTACTTTTTTTTTGTTGTTAGTCTGAAGCCCTAGACAGCGATAGTAAAAGATAAAAATCACTTACCGTTCGTGCTATACTTCGATCATGTTCGCAATTAAATAAAAATGTATCAAAAACGGTGACATGGGCAGAGTCCCACAGAGTGGTCAAGTAAGTCTCCGTGAACTGGAACGCGGTTGGAAACTGCTGCAGCAGCTGCCAAACACAGTCCAAGAAAAGCAAAAATAACGGTGCTGCCTCAATATCAGGGTTTAAAATGTGACCGAGTCTATATGTAAACGGGTGACCCAAAGCAACCCATTCTTTTTGTATCAAAGTCTGAAACCCATACACAGTTCTCCAGTTCGAGTCTAAGAGAAGCTGAATTAGACTGGAAACTACACAATTCATATCTTGGCCACTGTCTGTAATAAAGAAATGAAATTCAAATTAGATAATTTAAAATTTTGAAGCCTCACTTTTAGAATCCATTTTCTTTGGAAATATAAATGTCAAAATTTTTTTGCCAAGGGTTATTAATACAACAAAGCGCCTTTCAAGTACATATTGTATATGTACTTTTTGGCATTTTCTGACCGCCATGCTTTTTAAAATAAAAAATTCGTACTTACATTCTTGTAAAACGACAGTGGTAGGTTCAGGGTTGCAGATAAGGTCGGCTCCTTCGGCGGCTTTTGTTAAACACGTCGATACATGCTGTAACCATTTGGTGTTTTCTAGAAGGCCACAAAATTTGTAGTCTTGAATTTTGAATGTTTTAATGTTTTCGGGAGCACAGAGGTCACGCAATTTCATGTAACTGGACTGTACTTCTTTTGGAGTTGGACATTCCCTGCTTAAATCCATAATATGGGGTTGTCGCTTCTCTGCGTGGCTTTTGCGAACATGTTCCAACATTACATTCTCCTGCGTCCTATCTGTGATGGTGGGAAGGATGTCCGACATACGTACCAGCGCTGCTCCACTGGGAGCACTCCACACCTTTTTATGAATAAATTTTAAAAATGAACCACAAAGACAAAAGAATTTTTAAGTCATCATATGCCAAAAAGAAAGTTCTACAGCAAAGCCACCATCAAAGGATAAAGCGTCCTTTACCTTTTTAGATATGGAGCTCTGGAAAGGTCAAAGGACTTAGGAACTTACCCAGACTGGACAAGATCTATTTCTAAAATGTTCAACTGCCTTTGTAAGACCACTATCCGTTACTGAGGAAGGAACCACAAATGCCTCACATAATGTAGGGGATACAACAAAGTTCTGATTCAACAGGGAAATTCTCCACAACTGACATCTCGTTCTTTCCATTTCGAGCCTCCAGTCTTCTGGTTTTCTAAATGTTCGAACATCCTTCCCACTTTTAAAATAAGGTTCTCTAAAAGTTAGTGTAAAGTAAAACATGATACTTGTTTATTTACAAACTTACGCATATTCATATGCAAATAGAAGAGAATGTCGCTTAGGAAATGCATGGTGAAGTAAGGAATTTGCTATTGTCCTACCACTATCTTTATCAGAATCTTTAAAACTGAATTCAAAAGTTCTCATATTCTAAAAACAAAACCTGATTTATTAAGGTCAGAATTAATAATTATAAAAGAAAAATACCTTGCAAATAATTAACAATTCTTTAATTTTCCCTGATACATTTTGTCCTGGTATAAGTTTCTTTTTTGACTTATCTCCTACTTGATAAATGGTGTCTATTGATGATAAACAAACTTCATAGGGACCAAGAAGCATGTTTTGCTGGTATGAACTTTCATAATCATCCTCGTTTGCACATGCAAAGGCAAGCTTAAAAGTTGTCACTGTTAAAATGCCTAATGTTCCTCTCTTATGGTCGCTCAAAGGAGCGAAAAGAAGTACTTTTTGAGCCTCTGCTACCAGAGTTTCGCCTAAAACGACATGCTCTTCATGAACTTGAAATTATTTAATCATAATACCGCCTTACCATCTAATAATTTTGTTTTTTGTAGATCACTTAATGTTACCGACTAAAACAGAATACACTTGAAATTTATTCCATTAAACGCTAGGAAATGCAATTAGGTACCTCTAATTCGCTCTCATCCAGGTAACTTGTAAAACCTGTATTTTTTATATCATTCATTTTAGCTGCTTTTATAAGAAACTTGAATTTTATTTCACACTACACAGCTGCTATAAAACATTTCGTACTTATATACTTACTAATTACAAATAAAAAACAAATATATTTAAAAGAAAATTTAATAAATGTCAAGAATAAAATAAGGTTATAACAATTTTCTTTTTATTTACAATACCCTGAAGTTTGCATCAAAATTTCACTTTTTACGTACTTCTGTTAACTTAGCTTCAAACATATCTATGATATATGATAATACATATATATCTCTTATCTATGAATATATCTATGACCACCATAGACTAGTTGGCCACTTGGTTCTGTGTTGTTGTTTGATTGTATTCAAAAATAATATAAAGAATGCTAATAGTCAGCTGATATTTTTTTAATAAGCAAATTGTAATGGTGTTATCACTATTTGCACATTAATGATTTTAATCAACTTGTGCAAAATATTGTTTACAATCGTGATATATTTTTATTTTACTTTATTTACAACCATGATGTTTCTTATCAGTAAAGGTCTTAGGTCAAAATTGGACTAAAGTTCGTTAAAAAAGTTTAATTTATTTTACTACAAAAAGAATTAATTTCATATATTATAAAATGGATAAGAAATTCCATACCTTTTTGACAGCCAATAATTTACAAACAAGGTAATTTATTAATGTTTTGTAAGTATTAAATATTACAAATATTTCCATTTAGACCAGGCGCTCAGCACGGACTATGGCTGGCTTTTTTATTACCATTAGCCATCAGTGTAAGTTATTACCGAAATTTAGAGGTTTCATCTGAAATATATCGATTAAATGCAGTATTGAGTGTAAATTTATTACTAAGCGTAATGATAACAATTATAGAGACATTGCAAAAATTGTCCTCTTTAGCTAGTAAAATATGTTTATTAGTTGTTGTTGCAGCTACAGCAACCATATTAACAGTAATACTACTTAAAGGTGACTGTTCATTTTGTTTTATGAAAGCAGTTATAATAATAAACTTCTTCAGGTTTGTTGTTCAGTCTTTTAATAAGCTTTTTTGTGACCTTTGGTTTTAAGAAATCATTATTTACCATTATTAAGCTATTTCCACGAAGTTTTTCATTTGGAGAAGCTTGTGTTTGTGCTGAAGGACTGATATTCTTTATGGTTTCTTTTTATATTAATATAATTGCTCATAAGCAATCTCAGAATGAAAGATTAGGAAGCATATCAACTACTGTAATTCAGGTATATTTAGAGTTATTATTTCTTTTAACACTTTATTTAATATGTAATTGTGTTGTACAATTCTTCATTTTTCTGGCACATTATTACAGCTTTCTTAGCATTTCAGATTGGGTTATTTGGTCTTGGACTGATATGTTTGACAAGCTATTATTTTAAAGGAATATTATGCAGAACAATTCCTTTCTACATTTTTATAATTTTATCATTATTTATTTTAATTATTTTGCCCCTCCATGTTGTCTTACAACGAAGTCCAATTCTGTGGATCATAAATTTATTCACTGCAGACAGGAATACTGTAAGTTTAAAACCTTTGCTACAGAATAAAGTTAATTTGTTAGTGACTTGGTAATGGTC